ACCCATTTTTTCACAAATGTTTGTAAAGGCAGACTGCACGGCTATGTACTTGATTTTACACACCTGTGGCAATGGGACTGAATGAAACACCTGATTTCAGTAATTAAGAGGTGTGTTCCCAATACTTTTGTCCATATAGTGTAGTTGTCAGCCACCCGGTTCAACAATACTGAGTTCTTGTGGGCAGTATGTTTAAAATGGTTTTGGGGTCCTTTTATCATATACACAATTATGCTTGTCCCCAATAACAGTACTATGTTCCATACAAGGAACACTTTTTAATGTCTTAGCATAGTGTCTGCTCATAAGTGTGCATATATAAGTATATATAAGTATTTTACAGGGACTCTGAACATGGTTCAGCCAGTCCACTTTCAAATCTGGAAGACTAATGACGGTCAAAAGAATCTGTAAAAATTGCATCCCTAGTTATTATTACATGTTACTTTAAGTACTGGTCTTCTAAACATGGATCAAGCCAAATGTTGGAGTACATTTCAGTGTCAACAGAGAATTACTGTTGGAAATTGTTTTTAGTCTAGGTTTAAGCTTAATCTGGGACTGGAAAAACCTGCCCTATATATTTGGCAAACTGCCTCAATGTATGTCTAAAATGTTCCTGAATCAGGGCCAGGGCAAAAACTGTCCCTTAAAAAAAAGTATTATTTCCTGCTCTCTCACAGGCCTGTGTTTGTGAGTCAAATGCACTCTAACTTCTAATCAGACGACTTCCTGAAAGCGTTCACTGTTGAGGTAATCTCCCACGAGGCAGAAAATATCTGCAAAGAAGCAGATAGATTTTACATTCAGCGTGTAGCTTACTTTTAGCAACGCCAAGACATGTCGCTAATAGATTCATCCACTTTTAGGCCAAACGTGTTAAACTGGAGACCTTTTCAGCATCATTACCCTCGGCTGCACCCAACACAAGATGCTTTCCAAGGGCAAATCATTCTGGCCTGTTCACACAGTACTACACAAACACATGGCACAGTCCAACTCGGCATTAATCAGTACAGTCCCGGGCCTGTAAGGCAGTCTAATGAGCATGGAGGGGGTCAGGCCGTTAATCCAATTACTTATCCAAGGGAGGGCATTCAGCAGACCTCAGCATGTCCAAAGGTGGGCTTTCTCCTCTCTCTGCTTTCTCCAAACCGCTTATTGAAGCCACTCTTCTTCAGGCAATCATCTCAGTAATCACTGAGTAAACTCGCAAACAAAGGGAGCACTGAGGTTTCCACACATTCGTGCCTGGAGGGCAAGTCACATTCAGAAGCTTCACTCTGGTTCCCTGGGAAACTCTGAAGCACAGCAGCCATCAGTTGACAGACCAATATTTCCACAGTATCTCTCAAAGGTGATTTTAGAGTCTAGAGATCAGATTATGATTCAGTGCAATTTTAGGGTTTAGACGAGACACTGCTGGACAAAATCAGCTACTTACTAAAAAACACAGTTTAAAAAAACTGAGACTGTTGGGCAATAATGTGATGTTGGAAAAATGCTTTTCGTCTGCAGTAATATCACAATAAATGACATCCTTATCCAGATTAAGTCACAAAATATCACACATGAGCATTACCCTACCTTCTATTGTCCTGATAGTTACATATTTACCATATAATTATTGCCATATCTGTATCTTTCTTCTGGACAAGTTTGTCCACTTCACTCTCCGCGAGTAGATCTCATGTATTGGAGCTTCATTTGCAATCTTTGCCAGACTTAATATCTATATTATATCCAAGGGTGGTTCAAAGTATGTATGTATGTAGTTATTTATTTGGTGAGGTTCTCCTCGTAGTCTATACTTCAGAGCTATTGTATGTTTGTTTTGAACTAGCCATACATTAGAATGACTGTGCAATCAGCATGATTAAACAAAAAGGATAATTAGCATTGTAATTGTGAAATTTGCCCTTATTTAAACCACAATATTTAATAATACTAATTATAGGCCCAAGGCTATTGACATGGGATCAGTGCATGGCATATAATGGGAATAAGCTTTTATTAATGTAATAAATCAATATGAATTATCTTCTAAATATAAGTAGATGTGAATAGATGTCACCATTGCACTAATAAAACAGCTGACACTTCACATGTAAGCACTATGTTTAATTTTACGCTGTTATTAAAACGTTATTTTTGAAGTGCTCCTTCCAGCTGCTGTCAAATCAGAGAAATTTAGACGAGACACTGCCGGACAAAACTGGCTATTTTTTGGAAACAAAGGCTGAAAATATATTTGAATAATCCGAGACTGTTACACCCGGGAAAAGTACATGGTCAATCTTGGAAAAACGCAGCAGCTGTGCAAACAATCCAGGTCTTATCACCAGGATTCGTGGACGTGCTTACAGGTGCTGAAGAGATGAAACACGTCAATGTGTTTCCACTACGAAGGACAACTGCTATGAAATTCACCAGCACGTGATCGACAAGACACTGGCTACGTCCAAAACCACATAACGCGACTTCCACATACATACTGTACTATAACAACACTGCTCTTGGTAGTGTAATCACTATTTTGCGTGGTAGCATGAGGTTTCGGACGCCGCCAAGGTGTTCAGTCTAAACCCGGAGAAACACGTAGCTTAACAGATTAATCAATGAATTTTGTTAGCGTTATCAATGATACACTCGCCCCTTTTGTCCCATATTTTCTCAAAGCACACAGCTAAGTAGCTAGCTTGTTAGCTTACGTAGCTAGCTATCCAAACTACTGCGAGACGCGAAGCTTCTTAGCTTCTTGTTCAAATTCCCCGTTCCACCTTAAATGATGCATCAGTTCCAGTCTGGTGGCCGTAAAGGCGCCGCAACGTAACGCAACTGCTGCTCCATTTAAGGTGGAACGCATAATTCGAATAAGAAGCTAACTTCAGCCTCGAAACTACCGCTACGTGCAGGGGGAAATTCAGTGATGGCCAACTAGCTTCACATGTAGAGAAGGAGGAAAACGGCCGAACCGCGATACTATAAATCCGTTCCTACCTTTTACATCGCCTGCCAGTGCTTTCCATGTAGGTGAGTACTGGATACAGTGTCCACACCACGAAGAGTAGAACTGAATCAGCCAGGCTTTGGAAGAGTTGAACAAGGTCTGCTTCAGAGTGTCACTGGTTAGGATGACCACCGGGTCTTCCTCAGTGTATAACCGAGCAGTCTGGCCATACTGAAATACGGCCGCTAAAATAATCATCTTTAAGTAAATCGGGACTGCCATTCGGAGTGAATTAAAGGTAATACAGCCTGAGCCACACACTGCCAACTCCATTAGCTGTGTTTCTGCGCTCTGGCACTGCTGGCTACGCTTATGGAAACAACCAAGATGCCTTCGAGGACATCGTAGCGGCGCTGATTCGGCGCATGGGACCCGCCTCTTGTCTGCGTCCGATTGGTGCATCTTTGTGAGCCGCGTCAATAACGCTGGTAAACATGCTTTTTCTGACATGAACACTCATTTGCGCTTTATTCATGTTTTTACATGCTGCATTCAAATATGCAGTCAATGTTGCTGTATCACCCACAGATTTGTGTGGCGGTACAGCAATGTGTGATTTATTTTATTTATTTAAAAAAAAAACAACATAGAAGTTTATACACATAAAATTACAGCAGAAAATCAACTACGGGAAGTGTTTGGATAATGTTATTATGCCTTGTATTGAAATTGTAATTTCTTAAAAACTTCAGCTGCGGGTGACAGAAAATATATATATATATATATATATATATATATATATATATATATATATATATATACACTCAGTATGATGTAGTTAATAACTGGTGATATTTACTCAGTTATGTGTCCTTAAATAAACTTTTGATGGATTTGCACTTTCCTGAGTATTTTCAAATGACCTTTACTTCTACATAATTCTATTTAAAGGCAAAAGAGTCTACTTTTTACACAGTTACACTTTAGTCACATTCCTTTTTAATGTATAATGTATAATACTTTTTCATCTGTACTGCTTTACATTTGGCCACACCTCTCACTATGGGGCTTCAGCTTTTTATAAAAGAGACCAAAGAGAAGAACAGTGCCTATCAAGGGTAACTATGATCTTATGGGTTCCCATGCAACCCCAGTTGCCAAGATGGCAATTATGTTGAATTAATTATGAATTAATAAAATAAAAACAAAGTACATGTGATTTGCCTGTTTACTTGCTGTGTATCTCAACCAAGCCTAGACTAATGGTTGAAATATATTATTTAGTTTTTGTAGCAATCAATAAAGCCATGAGTGTAAAATTGCAATGTGGCAATACAAGGGGTCCAATAAAAACTTAAGGGTTGCCGAGCTGCCATGTTACAGGCCTCATTGGGACTGCCCTGCATTCACTTCCAGTATTTATACCTCGGTTTCCAGCATACACCATTACTTGCTAGCTTACACTTAGGCCTGTCAGGATCATGAAATTGTAGCTGACGATTAAGTGCCATACAAATAATTTAATAGTCCTTTTTTCTTTTAACTGTGGAAAATAATTGTGGTCTGCTTAAACAATTGTGATCAAGTTATTATGCAATAATTGTGAAAGGCCTTACTTACATTAGCTTCTAAAATCTTGTGCATAGGTCAAGTTAACTTTAAGGCCTTTTTAAAATTTGCCAAATGTCAAAAAGTACTGTGAGACCAAAGAAGGTGATTAAGACCATTTGAAAGTCTCAAACATGTAACTTTGTTACTCTATGAGGAGAAAAATCACATTTTAGCAATGATATAGGTCCAGTTTCGGGATAGTTGAGAAACCATGTCATGGTGCAGTGCCATTTGACCTGCTGGGTCATAATACTAAAACCCATAATCATCCCCTCTTTCTCTTTATGTATGCATCACATAATTTTTCCGTTGAATTTGTGAAGTTTTCAATTTGAAAACTGAATTACAACACACAGTCTACAAACACGCATTTATTTAATTTAGATTCTAGCTAAAACTGCACAGAGAAAAATAATGCAAATCAATTTGAAGAGTTAACAAAACAGATTGTCTTAAAAACAGATTTGTTGTTCGTTAAGATGACATGATAAGAGTGCTAAATTTTGTGTCACTTGTTGCCTGATATATAAATGTGGTTAAGAACTGATATAGTGTCATCCAGAAGTAGCCTGAAGATCTCCTCAGCCAGTCGTATTTTCACAGTGATCTGGTCAGTGCTGTAATCCACCCACTGCCTCTCCTCGCTGTGAAGCTCCTGAATCTACAAAGGGATAAAATGAAAACATGAGAAATTACAGTGTAGATAATATTAACTCTAACAAATCAATACTACTATCTCTTATTCATTTAAAAGTTTTAGCATTAAAATCTTTGTACAAACCAAGATGTAGTCCACTCGGTCCCTCTTGGCATACCAGTATTTGCACAGTGTTTGCAGCATCTCTGTCATTTGTTGATCAGTGCGCTCCAGATTAAGCACTTTCTGGGTCTCCCTTTTCACTGCAGCCTGGATTAAAATAAATATTTGCACATATGTAGTACTGTGCAAAAGTCAAAGACTACCCCTTGTTTATTTAATTTCTATTCAAAATAGCCATTAAGTAAAAGTTATTCATGTCTCACAGGAAACATTTCTGATGAGATTAGATATAAGATAATCCACTTACATAAGGAAAGAGGAAGTTGAAGAAAATATGTTAAAGACAGGACGCTCTAAAACTGGGGTTTATTAAAATATCATTAAAAATATATAGAGAAAATGGGACAACCATGCATAACCTGGTAGACCACCATCAGATAAGTACTAAAAGCTTTTATCTTTGAGAGAGAGGAGAAAATCAAGCTCCACTTTTGCTTCAGATCTGAATAAATAGTGTTTCTGTTCATTCTTCCACTGTAAGAAGACAGCTCAACGCTATGGGTCCAAAAGGATGTGTAGCTGTCAAGGAGTCATGCTGAAAAATGGACTGGCCTCTCCAAAGCCCAGACCTCAACATTATTGAATGTACTGAATGTAGGGAATTACTTGGATTATAAGAAGCAGAAAATGCAACCAACTTCTAAGACTGAACTTTGGAGGTATGAAAAATATTCCAGCAGGTTTCTTTCAAAAAATGAAAACAAGCCTAACAAAAAGAATGGAAGCTGCACCAAAGATTGGGCACTAAATACTGAGTGTTTTAATAATATTATTAACATTATTATTTACTATAGAGTTGTTGTGGCCTCTGTGTTATTTTCTGTTATAAAATGTTTTCTGCTTTTTTCCCGATGCTGAATAATTACTAGCCTGAACTTAATGGGCATTTTAACTTTCAAATTAGTCAAATACATAAATGGTGGTCTCTGACTTTTGCACAGTACTATATTTACTTCACATTTCACTTAATGTTCTTTCCTTTCATTTTGCTAACAACTTCAATATGACTTCAGCTCCACCAAGTGTCTGCACTAATATACACTCCCAGTAAAAACAACCGCTCATGTGCCCTTACGGAATACACTGATGTATAGCAGCTGCTCAATTAAAGGAGGAAAACCACAAAAGATAACTGGATATTTTGAGACAATGCAAGACGCCACACTGCTCATCAAGTGATTTAAGTGGTTTGAGGTGGAGGAGATTCAACTGATGACATGGCTGAGATGACTAGATTAAAATGTCATTGAGAACTGAGAGCTATGTTGGAAAACATGTGGAGAAGAAAAATCCATCTTTATCATCTTTATAAAAGCATGACAGATTAGTCTTATTATCTATCAGTGGCTTTGCTACATGAGGAGCTTTCACAGTGGTGTGGAAGCAAAGGCTGAATCACTACTGGTTTTAAAGGGGAACTCCACAGACTGCTTAGATGTAAACCAAGTCATTCAGAGTGGTTTGATGTGAAAGCATTCATAGTAGAGAAATAAATGTCTACAACACAAATAGCCATTTTATTTACTGTTCAGAACTACCAATGAACCTACATGTCTTCTGATGTTTTCGTATGTGGTCTTAAAAAATAGGTTTTCTTTATGGACTATTTTGTCTTACAATTCCCTGTATGTACCTCTCTGACACAAATGCATTTAAAAAATACATTTTAGGCCAAAAACTTTAATTTATAACCATTTCATGAAACAGCTTTCTGTGAGAACGCTTGTACAGTCATTAAACTCCTCAGTCACCTGGTTCCTATCACCACCAATGTAAACATTCTGACTTGGACAGTTTCTCTAGAGTGAAGCATTTTGCATCAAACCATCTGAATGTCTTTGTTAACATCATAAAAATTTTATTATACAGAAATTTGAAAAATTGGTGGAAAACCTAAAATTAATTTTAGGTTAGCTGGGCAAGCCGACAGTGGGATCCACTTTTTGAGACTAAGCCTATTCTTGGGCCAAACTGCAAAGCCAGTGGTGAATTGCTACTGGAAATCCTTTTTAGTTTAGGCTTAGGCCTAATATGGGTCGCCAAAGCTGGCCCTAAATGACATGCATGAACAATTACTTCACTTATAAACAATGTGAGGTAATCATGAAGGTTAAAGAATGACCTAGAAAATTACTAATAAATCCATCTTTTGTTGACTTGTATAATTGAGCAATACAAAAAAAGCAACTTTTGAGTCATTCCTTCTGACTGCCGGTAATTATGATATAATATTTCAAAGATTTCTAAATAGTATATATTTGGTTTCTTGTCTGATCTTACCTTTAAATAGGCCACTGAAATTTGCCCTTTCTGCAGAGCTGAGATCACTGATGTTGCCTTTGTTTTCTGGACAGAGCTGCTTGTTTCCAATATATTGGCACAAACCTCATGTAGTACATCAGATGCTAACTGGAAGAGGACCTGAAATGAGAGCAGGGTGTTGTTTTCCTTTGAATAAATAGTGATATACACATGCAAGCCATACATTAACAACAACCCTTATTCCTTAGAAAGTAGAAAGTACTTACCTGCCTGTAGCCTTTGCAGCTTTTATCATCTACTAAGTGGCTTGGTGTTTCACAAACATCGAGTGCAGCTTCACCCGCTTGGCCACAGAGAGCCTCAACTGTGGCATCTACCAGTCTGTAGACAATGCCGTGCTCATGAGGCTGGACCTGTATTTGTGGGGGTGTTTCAGGATGCACCTGATGCCACTGATCCATGAGACATGGCTTGTTAGTTGCAAAGTTACTGTTTTCCCTTTTCCTAAAGCCCTGAGAAGAAAATGTTCAGATCTGTGAGAAAATAAATGTAATTCTGACAAAATGCACAGCTAATTTAATATTCTGTGGAGCCATGAATTGGGTTACTTACAGAATCAATAGGTTTACTGTCGTGCTTAGATCTGATTATCTGTCTATGTCTCTTCCTGGTCTCCTGCACACTCTTCAAAGCATCCGCAAAAATCTCCTCAGTTAATCTCTCTATCAGAACATCAGTCTCCTCAACATGATGCTTGTTCTGCTCATTGTAACAAACAAGCTTATGATCGACCTAAAGTGGAAAAAGTTTGGTTTTATAAAATGTACATTTTGCACATTCACAACATTGAGTTAAGTACTTCAGTGGTTTTGCACATATACACAGTCCATTAAAACTTTGGAGATGCCTAGCTTTTAAAATGTCTTAATGCAAAAGATGTAAATATGTTTTCTTTGTTGCTTTGCAATAGGTTAACTTAAATAATGGCAAAGCCCAAATATTTGATCTGTGATATTTGATTTGTTGTGATATCACTACTCAAACTAGAGGTGCTAAATCGTAATCTGCCAGGATCGGAATCGGTCAGTTTTTGCTCCAAATACACAATCAGCAGTCTGCCAATTAGCTGTTTTATTTTGCCCAATTTGTGTTGCAATGTTATGATGTAAATAAGTGCCAAGTAAGTGCACTGTATTTGAACGCTCCTAATGTGTGGCCATGAGTTAGTAAGGCGTGGAAACGAGATTATTAAGTTGTGTTCACAACGTAGCAAAACATAGGAATGGATGAATGATCTCGTTCCCATGCCTTACTAAGTCATGGCTATGACATAACTATCAGAGCCTAATTATCTCATTCTCATGCCTTACTAAGCTGTGGGAAAAAGACTGTTAAGTTGTGGCCATGACTTAGCAAAATGTGGGAATTAATGAATTATCTCATTCCCATGCCTTTCTAAGTTGTGGCTATGTCATAACTGTCAGAACTTAATTATCTCATTCTCATGCCTTACTAAGTTGTGGTCATGACTTAACTATCAGAACTTAATTATCTCATTCTCATGTCTTACTAAGGTCTGGTCATGACTTAACTATCAGAACTTTCCCCATTTCATTTCTTATCTTATTTTCATTCTCGTTATTGGAAGTAACAATATCAAAATTTAATTTTTGAAAGAAGGCAAGGTGTCCATTTGACAGGTTATGCATATTTGTTTCACAATAAGAGTGATTCACCTTTAATGGAGATTTTTCACTGGATCTTGAACCACTTGATAACTCATTGAATGTGTCTCTGGTGGCATCATTTTCACACAATTCCTGCAGGCCTGTCTGTTTTGGAGCTGACAGATCACGTCCCCAAGAGCTTTGGCTGTTCTTGTGCCTCCCTTGTCCATTCCCAGATGGTCTTTTCCCACTTTTCCCATCTTGGCCATCTGAGAAGGTATCCTCATCCACATGAGTATTCAAACCACTGCAGTGATCTCTATGCAGATGACTAACGTCTTCTGCTCTGACCAGGACCCCGTGGTTCTTTTCACATGTAAAGTACTTTACACCCCTGAAAGTGCCATTGTGGTTTCCATTGGGAGTATCCAGTGCCACGCCAGCCCAAAAACCCCCGGCAAATGCAGTGGATCCCTTATACTTCAGGATGCCTGGTCTTGAGTTGCAGACAAGAACCCTGTCTCCAATGTGAAAGGAGGATAAAGGGTCTTCAGTCTCATTACTGTCATCCACAGGAAGAGAGCTGGTGTACTCCGAGCACTCGTCCTCTTCGTCCTGCCCTGTGGCCAGTTTAGGAGAAAGGGTTTTACATCCATCTCCAATCACAGCATCATTATTGACCTCACTCTCCCCCAGACTCCCCGAGCCTAGACTTCTAGTCTCTTTTCTACTTAAAGACAAGTCCACAGGAAGGTTAGGGAAGTTCTCACTGTTGATGGAAACGTCTTCAACAAAGTCAGGTGGAGCTGGAAGATCTTCCTCACTAGTCCATGTGATGATCTCGAAGGCAGGTGGAGGAGGTGGTAAACTGTTACTATTTGGTCCTGAACCACCACCTCCTTTAACCGAAGGAGGGAGCTCAGCACTTCCATATGACAAAACCTCATCTACTGGAGAAAGAATCTCTGAGAGGGTGCACTCTGTGGTCATTTCCCTCTCATAATAAGGGGCATCATGGCAACCCACCTCATTGCTGGACTGATGGTAATATGGCGGTTCTGAGAACACAATGAACTTTTCAGCGAAGACCAAGGAGCATGTGCTTGCTTCAGTTTTCTCTTCATTAAAACCATCTCTCTCTTCTTCAGACCAGGCCAGTGCTTCACTCTGGAGTGAAAAGGGTTCTGATCTATCTTCTGTCTCAGAAAGGCTATCATCACAAGTTGGACTCTCCTCACCTCTTTTCAGATCGCTGCTTAAAACCTGGACCAAATTAGCAATGAGTGGTTTATCTGTGAATGACTCTTTTGAATTGTGCCATATTCGTGTGTAAGCTGTATTTGATTCACTCTTCTTTGTCTCACCGCAAATCTCATGATTATTGTTGAACAGCAATACAGTCTGTGACCGTTGGTTGTTCTCCACATTGAGAGTCGCATTGTCGGTTATTACCTGGCCACAGTCTGTATCATCTGAGGCGGAATAGGTCTTCAAAGCCTCTTGAAGCTTCATTTCTCTCTGTTCTCTGGGTTTTTGATGGCTGTCTTCATAATCATAGGGCAGGTCTTCCTCTATGTCAGATGACAAACTGGACACAATAGGAGCCCTGTCAGTGATTCCACAACTAGTTTGGTTGTGTTGTCCTGATGTGAAATGCTGCACATTCTTGATAGGCTTCCAAGTGACTTCAGCTGGGTATTGTATTCTTTCCCCTGAGTATACTTCACTGCTTTTGGGTGGGGTCACCTTCTCATGATGTTGCCCTTTATGCAAAGGGCTTTGGATGTTCTTCTCAGGCTCGTGCTCTGGAAGGACAAACTCTAATAAGTAAACATTAGAAGTGTGTCATCAATAAAATGGAAAATTCATATATACAGTACTGCACAAGTCAGAGACCACCTTTCATTTATTTCATTTCCAGTCAAAGACTTATGTATTTCTCAGAGCCAGGAAAAAAAGTATTTAGTGTTTTTCCATTCTTTTTGTGGGAACTGCTTTCATTTTTTCAAAGAAATCTGCAGGGATATTTTTCCACACCTTCAAAGTTCAGTCTTAGAAGTTGGTTGCATTTTCTGTTTCTCACAATCTGAGTAATCTCAAACACATTTAATCTCAAACACATCACGTCCCCAAGAGCTTTGGCTGTTCTTGTGCCTCCCTTGTCCATTCTCAGATGGTCTTTTCCCACTTTTCCCATCTTGGCCATTTGGGGGGCCCTCATCTGAGAAGGTATCTGGACTTTGGAGTGGCCAGTCCATTGTTCTGAGAACACCACTGGCTTCTTTGTTTGATGTTCTCATGGCACTTCATTTTGAGTGGCCCTTTTAGTTGAAACAAACACTCAACGGACTCTCAGTAACATGTCAAAAACATATGAGGGTTAGGATTAGGTTGGGGTTGAGGTTAAGGTTAGGGTTAGGATTAGGGCCAGGGTGAGGGTTAAATTTTGGGAAAGGTTGGGTAAGGTTAGGTTTTGCGTAATGGAAGTAACATATTAACAATCCATCTAATCAATGTAAGTAATGTATCGACAGAACATCTACAAGATATTTACTTCAATGTATTCAGATGCTTCACTATTGCTATTTCACTAATATGTTGTTGATGTATTACTGATAATCTGTTATGTTCATCATCTACAAAGGACCACTCCAAATAAAGTGTTGCCAATTTTTTTTTTTGCCTATTTCCTTTTATCAGTAAGGGCTTCTCGACATCTACATGTTCAGGCTCATAGTGTTGAGTTATCTACTCACAGTGGAAGGATGGACAGAAAAAAACTGTATATTTTTTCAGATCTGAAGCAAGAGTGGAGCTTGATTTCTACACAAAGATGAAAGCTTTGAGTGCTGTTTATCTGATGGTGACAGTTTTGGTGGTCTACACAGGTCACATTTGTTAGGAGTCCCACTTTCACTTTGTCTTATAATAACTTCTTGAGCTACAGATTTAGAAGCGTCTGTTTTTTTCAGATATATTCATTTGACTTTCTCTTTCCTTAGGTGGATTATCTGAAAAATATCTTGAAAATATCCTGAAACTTATACTTAATGGCTTTTTGGCTGAGAATTAAATAAATGAGGGGTCTCTGACTTTTGCACTGTACTGTATTAAAACGGAAATGGAAGATTAATCAAATATCCTGGTCAGATCTGGCTACAGAACAGGTTGTGTTACTGTTCTTTGTGTAGATATATTTACTTACCACCACAGCAAGTCAGCCTAGTACAGTGAGAGGACTGAATCATTCAGCTAATAGTATGAGTCAGCAAAAATGCAGGATGTAGGCAGTAAATCAGCACTGACAATGAATTATAGCCCTGTCAACAATAACTTGGGAAAAGTCTTGTCAAATATTCAAATGAAATGGAAAACAACAGTGCAGTGCGGCTACTCCTTAAAGTTAAAATAGAGAAAAAAACATTTTGTTACTTTTTTTGATGATATACTATTAACCACTGTGAAACGTCCATTTAACCACAGTAGTGACAACTGTTGAATTGGTGTAGGACTTTCCAATTCCACATTCCACATCAAGTTTGATGTTAAATGGTTCATTGCAGAGAAACTTACCAACTAGTTATTGTATTTACCAAATAGTTATTGTATTTGCTATCCAAATTGGCCAGTGACTTCCATACCTTCTAGTAATTTCATGTTATTATATATAATATTATATATTATATCTAATGTTGTTAATGGTAAAACAGTGAAAGTAAAACAGTGAAAACTGCATAAGTAGGTTTTAAGAAGAAATTTCTTCGTAAGAACAATTGGTGAATGAGGACCAATGCCCAAGGAATTAGGCAGCATATTTGTAACTTCCATTTCATGCAATAACTTTCTGTGAGGTAGCATTAAATTCAGACACCTGCTTCCTGTTGCCACCTCTCTGAACAATTCTGACTCTGTAAGTTTCTCAAGAATGGAGCACATCACATCAAACCACTCTGACTGACATTAAACCATTTAATTATACAGGAATTTGTGAAAAAAACAGGTTGAATTTTCCCATTTAAATACTTCACCCACCATAACCATGAGCTTTAAAGTCTTCCTTCAGTGGTTCGCGCTGATGTGAAGGCTTTCCATCTTCGCTTTTCACTTTTCTCTCAGCGTGATGGAGAGGCTGGCTTCGATGACTGTATGCTAAGAAGCGCTTGGGGTCACATGACTCTTTGGAACCTGTCGTCTGTTGTAGAGTTTCTTGCTCCGTTTGGATTTGTTCTCCTGAACTCCTCTTCCTTCCAAAGCTCCATACTTCATCCGACGTCAGGAGCCTCCTCAGACCTGCTTTAGTCAAAAATCTGCGGAAACAAAACAAAAGTTAGTGCTTGCTCTGCTGAATCAGGGTCAGCCTGGGCCTTATCCCGGCGGCTTCACGTTGCGGCGGGATGGGATCGGATTATCGAGACGAGTGCCACTTAGAACGGCTTTATCATCCCACATGAAAGACGGCATTGATCTCGAGAAATGCACTGTGCTCTGGTGGAATCCCTGGGGTCTTTTTTTCCCCTGCTAAGTCCTCATTATGTAACATAGACACACTCTCAGAAAGAAGGCCATGCATGTGAAGTAGAGAGTGTGAGCTAGACAGAAAGAGAGAGAGAGATGTGTGTAGACAGAAAGAGAGAGAAATGTCTTCCACCTACCCTGGCCTGTTCATGGCTGGCATAGTGGCATCACAGTGCCAGCAGAGCCACAGAAGAAGCAAACAGGCGGAGGTACAGTAGACTGTCCTCCTTCAGGTCCTTGCAGCCACTCCCCACTAAATCTTCACTCGCAGTCCCATCTGAGTGATGTGTGAGCAGAGAGAGAGCAAGCGAAACAGCCTGCATCCCTCTCTACAGCTGTGCCCTCTTTTCCCTTTCAATATCCTCTCCTCTGGCTCGCTCCCCCCTCTTTCTCTCTGGGTCTCTCTCTCACTCGCTCTCTGTCTCTCTCCCTGTGTCCAATCGCTCTGCCTCCCTTTCCCATCCAGCCCCCCTCCGTCCTCTCTCTCTCTCTGTGCTTCCCTACATCTCTCTCTCTCTCTCCCTCTCGCTCTCTCTCTCTCTCTCCATCTCTCAGGGTAATTACTCTGAGTGCTGCATTGTAACAATGATAGAGTACAGTGCACGCCAAAGACAGACAACAAGCCTATGATATTCGCATCCTGTACTGTACTGCAACCTCATGGCTCAGAAAAAAAAGAAAACATGCCGTGTGTCATACTCCGCAGCCTTGGCATATGCTAAATGCTGCACTGCAGTATTTCCTAAATCCCTAAGATGGTGCACATAAAAATACACCAGAGCTGGCATCAATGGCTCCTGTACATCAGCGATAAATGGTAAATAACCCTCATGTGTTTAAGGCATGACAATAGAAGTGAATTGTCGCACACTTGCCTCCCCTGCTTTCCAGGTGACTTATCTCTGCTTCCGGCTGCATGTATAATCCCAGGCTTGGTGATAAAACTCTTTGCCTCCTGTGGAAAAGAAGAAGCAATAACACAACACAGTTCTGTAAGCTTTAAGCACATCTCAGCGCAGCACCTGGATAATTGCGGCACAATCCAGCTGTCCTGCCCCAGTCCTTCACCCCAGTACAGTGACAGCGCTTAAGGCCCGTTGTGTGGTGACCTTCATTAAGACAGGCACTAGCTGCGGGGCAGGATGTCAGTGGAAGGCAGAGTGATGGCAGTTGCTGGAGAGTAGTTACCGGAGCTGGAGCTGCGTCCACGGGCCTAGTGTCAGTCTCCGCCTCGGCCTGCTTCTGCAGCACTTCTCTAAAGTGAGTAGCCGACTTCTTGATGTCCAGGATGTCCCTCTGATGGCAAAGCAGCAGCCGACGCTGCTGCCGTCCGCATTTATATACATTACGCCAGTGGTGGATTTCTGCCTGTTAATTACAAAGATGGTGATAACTGGTATGTATCACTGCTGTCATAAGAAATGTTTTTATTTTTTAACACCCATGTCCACCATAGTGCAATCATTTCACAAACAATGGACCAATACATATTGTTCAAAAGTTACATTAGCAGAACTTTTCCTTCACCTATAAAGTCAATGCTTTAAAACTGAACATTGCTATTTGTCTCATGTCAGTGGAATATAAGGTAAACAAAACTGATGAAATCATCAATAATGCATAACCCTTAATGCTGCCAATCATGTTGCTTTCACCTGCTCCTGTCTCAGCCTGCTCACTACTTCCTCCTGCTTCCGCTTGATTTCAGCAAGAGAGTTGTCCTCTGACGTAACCTGCCTGATAGAGAAGCAATAGACCATATTATGTAATAATCTTATCGCTAACCTGTCTGAAGTAGTTGGTCAGCTGCACTTAATGCATTACACATTAGGGCATGTGGAGGAGTTTCCTTCTGCACAGACTGAGTTTGAATTCTCCTCTAAGTCGGTTAAATTGGTTAACAATACTTGAGACATACTGGCATAGGGCGAGTTTTATCACCTTAACATGAAATGCTCATATGCTTAACATTATATATTTAATCACTTATTTAGTTATTAGTCTCAAAACTTATTATTATGGAGTCTTAGAGTCCAATTTATTACACTCTGAAATTGCCATCAGCTGTCAATTCCTAATGACAATTCTAACAAGTTTGTTAAGTTTTGAGACTTTTTACTGCTTTAAGAGTGTCCAAATATTTACATGTTCCACGTGTTTTTTTTTCTACTTTTTAAATTTATATATAAAGGAACTGCATATTAACATTTGCAAAAATATTATTTTTTTAAATAGTAATAATTTGCTGCAAGTGTTGTGTTATATAGTTATAAGAGTGTGGGGCTGATGTATTAACACACATATGGATCCTTTAAAGGTTAAACAAAAGAATTCTTTCCATTTTCTAACGTAAAGTGAAACAAACTTGCCTTCAATTTAATCAAAGGCCCTTATATATGTTTACTGTATGTGTAATTGTCACATATTTAAGATAACAAGGGGATAAATATAATCTTAAATATGTATAATTTACAAGTACAGTATATTCATTTTGAAGGAAAGTGACATGAGAAGATGAACTCAGCAGACTCTAGACTTGCATTTAATACCTTAAACTCTAAGGATGTGTATGCGGGTTAATGTATCATTTCCTCACTCACATAACTACACAACTTATACACCGATCAGCCGTTAGATTAAAACCACCTCCTTGTATCTACACTCATTATACATTTTATCAGCTCCACTAACCATATAGGTACAGTTGTAGTCCTACAATTACAGACTGTAGTCCATCTGTTTCTCTACATGTTTTGTTAGCCCTCCTTCACTCTCTTCTTTATTGGTCAGGATCCCCACAGGACCAACACAGAGCAGGTATTAGACAATGACAATAGACAATGAGTGTAGAAACAAGGAGATGGTTTTAATATCATAGCTGAAGTGTATGTTAGTTGTAGCTACAGATATAATTTATAGTGGTCACTGAATGTCTTAAGATTGATGAATAATAAGAAAAGGACTTCATGTATTAGACTTTTTGGCAGCTGCTATGAAACTAATATTATAAGATGAGTTATATGAGTAATGAAAGTGAATAATTGGACTGTGACCTACATACAGGTTCCTTAGAGTTGAAGCCATTAAATGAAAGGATTTGGTCCATTTTCTAATGGACTGAATCCTTTCATTCTACTGACATTGTCATTCTAATGCACAATGAAATGAATTTGCTCTTCATTGTATTATTAGGCCTTTTAATGCATGTTATTGTAACATACTCACTTCTTGCAGTGATCCAGCCATGCCAGCTCAGCCTGAGTCCTCTCCCACAGTGCTTTCTCTCGAAGCCTGAAGAGAGCGCTGTACTGGCGGGCTCTCAGCTCCTCTTCCCGGAGGAACTGCTGGCTCTGAGCCAGTGAGAGGTGGCGCTGGAGCTGACTCTGACTGTACACCTCACTCAGCTCACTCCACTGCACACAGCCGGTAATGCACGAAAGAGACAACAAGGTGCGTCACACACACTCAAATGCACTTGACTCCTGTGAGCTCTGATGCTCATCTGCAATTTCTATCCACTCATACTATAAACAGACTATGAACTGTCTTACAAACTCTCTTATTCAAGGTAAAATTTGTATTCATTGTGATGACCATTGTACCCCACACTCTGCTGTTTTTTAGCATGCATACATATTTTATAAGACATTAAGCATAATTATGTTGGAAAGAGGCTTGATTTATATAGTCAGCTCCATTATTTTTGGGACCCTTGGTAAAGACGGGTAAACAGTCATGAAAAAATGTCTTTGTGGTTAATCTTACACAAATATGAGAGCTTTAACTGAAGTCAATTTATTCTAAGAAAACCTTTAGCGAGAAAAACGTTTCATAATGATTGGCACATGGCTTTGTTAATTGTATATTACTTTGTGCTACCTCCCTTTGCCAGAACAGCAGCAATGACCTTTATCCTATAGTACTTAATGAGACTAAAAAATACAGAACAAGGAATCTGAGACCACCCCTCAGTACAGAACCTCCCCAGATCTTCCAGAGTCCTAGGTCCTCTCTTTTTGGGCTCTCCTTTTCAGACCATCACACAGGTTTTTAATGGAGTTTAGGTGAGGGGAATGGGATGGCCAAAGCTTGATTCTGTGGTCATGGAAACATTGTTGTGTAGATTTGGGGGTATATTGTGCTGCTGGAAGACCCAATCATGACCCAGTTTTAGCTTCCCGGCAGACACGGGCATTTTTTTTTCAATGTCCTGGTAATTCATGGAGACTGTGGTGTATTCTAAGATTCTCCTTTGGCCTTTGGAGGAAAAACAGCCCCAAAACATTGCAGATCCTTCCTCAAACTTTGGGGATGAAGTAGGGATTAAGTTATTATCTGTATGACCATCCTTCTTGTTTTTATGCCAAAACTGGTAGTTTTCTGTAATTATTCTGTTAATATATTTCATGAAAAAGTCACTTATTAAATTTGAAATGAGGTTACAAAATTCTCAACTTTTTTCTCACTGCCTGCTTCAGTCCACTGCTATTCCCAAAATCTCCCAAGCACTCACAAATACGTTAACTACTGAGGAGATTATCAGTTTGATCATTCTTCCAAAGATCTCAGTAGTGCTGAGGTAAATATCTGCCTCATCACTTTGGTTTATCAGTCTACTCAGGCTTTAGCAGAGCTGTGTAACACTGAGATTAATAACTGGTCATCACATTGATTTATCAGTCTACTCAGGCTTTAGCAGAGCTGTATAACACTGAGATTAATAACTGGTCATCACATTGATTTATCAGTCTACTCAGGCTTTAGCAGAGCTGTGTAACACTGAGATTAATAACTGGTCATCACATTGATTTATCAGTCTACTCAGGCTTTAGCAGAGCTGTGTAACACTGAGATTAATAACTGGTCATCACATTGATTTATCAGTCTACTCAGGCTGTAGCAGAAACTTCAGTGTTTATAAAGAAGCCATTAATCGAGTTCCTGTTCAGAATTTGTTTAGCAAGCATGTTTGTTTTACCAAGGTTGCCAATAATTACAGAGACAGTATGGTAAACCTGTAATTGCAGAGCAATCTATATAATATAATGTATAGGTCTGGCATCCTCCATTACAGTAATGATAGTGTTACCTTACTGGTTGAGTCAGTGCTTTCACTGTAGTCACTCTGCTCTGATGTGCCCTGAATTGTGGCCTGTTCACGCTGTACTGTACACGTCTCCGCAGCTGGACATGCCCACTGATCTACAACACATTTACAGTTTTATACTGTCTTCATTTATTATCTTTTTGTCATTTCAAATTGTGTTTTTGTAATGGTCACTAATAGACCCCTAAAAATAAAATGTAAACATAGAAAATTGACGACTATGATTTTTTTTATCAGTATTTTGTTTGGGCCTCCTGTAGCCTTGATGATTGCCTCACTAATAATTATTCATAAAACCTCTTTAAGGTCCCATATGATACAAAACTGATATTTCTTCACTGTGAAATAGAAAAAGTTTGCTGTAGTATGTTAACCCCTTAAAATCCCAGGCTTACTCCATACCAATTCTTATTATTTAGTAACTAAAGGGACCAAAATACAAACTGGTGGAGCTATTCTTAGGTTATAGAATTGTGTAATAAAACTTTAGACCCTGGCCTTTTAGGGTCTTAACACTGTTAAAGTTTTTAAAACATACCACTCAATCCTCAGTCCGAACAGCTTATAAATGGAAACTAAGTTACAAAAACAGCCTGTTTTTAATTCAGTGTTTTGTGAAGTCACGAAAATGGATACATGTACACATATCCACATATTCAGCCTGCAGGAGTTCAGCCCCGCCATTTCAGGCTTAAGATATAAAGAGTGTTGCTTGGACTGCTTTTGAATGAGGCACAATTAGAGCTGAATGATTTGAGTAAAATATCTAATTGTGGTCTGACCAATATTAAAACATGATTATTTTCTATAAATTAGGTCCAGGCTTTGTTTTTGACCAAGAACTCTAGCATTTCCACTTTTTCTGGCTTAAGGACTGAATGCTGAACGTAGTGTGTCAGACTTGTTTCTGACTGGTCTAATTCATCTACAGGTGGTTTCCAAGCTCTGGGTTATTAGGTTAAATGTCCCCAGCTTAAACCTGTTAAGGTAATGCTGTTAACAATGTTGGCTATAATTAAAATTGTGTCATTTGCAATTTAAAAATTGTACTCTTTCAAATTGTAGTTTCTATAAAAATGATTCATCTCTCAGCCAAAGGCACAATACAGGTCATCAATCCACTGTTTATATACGTATATCCCACTTAAAGGGACAGTAACAGTCTGTTTAATTCTAGGGAATAAAGAGAGGTTGGAAAATTATCATATCCAAGTGAATTTTTCTAAAAGAACAATAAGTTAATAAATGTACCTCAGGGAAAAGTTGTAAAACAAAAGAACATGTACAAAAGAAATGTAGGATATGGGCCCTTTATAGTGATTTAAAGGATCGGCTTCCCACATATTCAGTTTACCTACTTTTGGCAAAAATTGTATTGATGTAATATATTTTATTAATATGGGAATGATGTACACATCTGAATTAAGTCAATTCAGTGGAAAAAAAAATCACCTGATCATTTCCACATGAATAAAATCTATTACATTAATATGATATTGTCTTCCAGCTTACTTACTTTTGGCAATAACTGTGCTGATTTAATATATTTTGTTCGTGTGGAAATGATGTACACATTTGAATCAAGTGAACTCAAAGCACTATTGTTTTTTTTCAGTGGGCCAGTTTCCATGCTGACAGTTTCCTACCGTCTCAGCGGCTAGTTATCCACATACCCATGCTGATTTTGATCTCTTTCTTCTTGGGTGCATTTTCATCAGTGGATACAGACTCTCTCTCCTTGTTTCTGTCTGCAGCTTCATTCTGTTTACCAGCGTTTGCCTCCAGGGCTCCTTTCAGACCCATGATCACCAGCTGGGCAGCCTCATTCTCCACACGTGCATCCAGAGAGGCCATCATCTTTCTGATAACTTCCACTCTGTGTCTTTGAGTCTCTGCCAGGCTGATCTGGGATCTGTTCAAATCAGCGGGGTTGCTGGCCTCAGAGAAACACTCCGTCTGTCCAATTCTGTTGCAGCACACAGTCAAACCTACAGTCTCAGATGTGCACTGAGTTGTCAGTTTGTTAGGTACCTTATACCTGCACTTATTGACCATTTTGTCAGAAACACCTCCAAATTAGGTGTACAGTTACTGGCTGTAGCCCAACTTTTGCTGCAGAGCTGACCATTTGCAAAATTCTGACATCTGTCTGATTTTCAGTACATGCTACCTGGTAGTATCTGTAAACCACTGTGCTGACAGACTAAAAGAATAACTAAAATGTTAAGTGGGACAAAGATTTTTGGGTTTAATGATGAGGAGGTTTTAGCAACAGAAGCTACCTCTTTCAGATGAGCTAACAAGGTAGTAAGAGGACTGGTATATGCTAAAGAAGACTGGTCGTCTTTTACATGAGGTCTTTTAGCAAACTTTCATGAAACAATACAAATGGATGGAAAATGGACGAGTGCATTATTTATCTTTACACAATGAACCTCATTTACCAATCGTTCTTAAGAAGAAATTTCTTCTTAAATCCCACTTACGCAGTTTTCATGAAGATTCTGACATTCACCAATGTTTCCTTATTTGAGATTAGTTCTTAGGTAAGAAGAGAATCTGTGCACACTCAAGAGCACAGAGGTGTGATCAATTCTTTGATTTAAGAATCTGCAGTCTTGAATCTGACGTAGAGTTTTGCTTAGGACCATTCTCAAAAACAAATTTAAGAAAAGACTTATTGAGACCTGTTATTTTTTAAACTGTATTGTTACAGTGTTTGTTAATCTGACTGTTTTATCAAGCTAAATGTTGTCAGCTTAATTAGCTAACCGATCTTATCACTGTTCTGTAAGGTTATTCATTGTTATGTAATGTTATCATGATATTAAAATGATTTTTAACATACATAGTTACCTATATAAAGTTTAGCATACCCCTGCTAGAAACAACAGCACAGACCAGCATGGCTGGTCAACAGCTAAACCAGCAAATGTTGTGTTTTAGATGCTGGTCAGCAGAAATGGATGTTATTGGGCTAATCAGCAGCAATACCAGTTCATGTTGTGTTTTGGATAATGGTATGCTTGTCAGCCAGCATGATCATGCTGGATGACCAGATAAACCAGAAACAGACCAACATAAACCAGCATAAGCTGGCTTAGTCCAGCTTAGACCAGCATGGAATGCATGCTAGTTCAGGCTTTTTTTTTCAGCAGGCACCTCAGAGCTGCTTGTTAAGTTAATAGTTTTTTCTATTGAGCTGTGAGTTTGGTCTTCCACATAGATTAATCCAAAAATGTTTCAATTTCAGGAATGAAATCAACACTACACCAACCTCTAGATGTTCAGGATAGCATGCCAGGCAATATACATTCCCACCATTTCTTAGTCTAATAATTCAAACTAATTTACTGGAGTTTTGTCAGAGTTGCTTGTTCTCTTGACTGAGGAAGTAACATTTAGAGACGACTGTGATTGGCAGAGAGGTGTGTCAATTATAATTTTGCAAATTTGTTGGTTTGTCAGCCACCCTCAACGTTATCAGTGCTTAGCTGAGAACGGTCCATCACACACATAAAATTTGGTCAGTGGTCCTATAACAGCCCCTTTCCATTAATAGATTGGATAGAGGGTGGCCAATAAATTATGCGGCAACAGAGGGACAGTCAGTAACTGTAAACCTACAAAGTGCTTATGGTAGATGTACCTAATAAAATGGCCAGTGAGTGTAGGTACAAGGTAGGTGAAATGTCAACTCGGTGTGTGTTCAATCCAGCATGATTAATAGTCATCATTTCCCTCTATACCTAACAGTCTATGACTATGTGAGTAGACGGACAGACAGTTGGGGAAAATGAATAAGCTGTGCTTAAATCTAAAGCTGGTGTATGCTGCCCTCCCCTGGTTGTAACAGCATGTTGTACATTCAGCTCACCCTGCATCACACTGGGTCAGTGCACCAGCCTTGCTGTTGTTGGTAGCAGTTGGTTCACTCTCCAGGAGAGCATTTCCACTCTTCCTTTCAGCATTTATGCTTTTCTAAAAAATTAAAAGTTATGAAAAATATGCATCCAGTGTCATTTACAGCAATCAAACCCATTTTTCAAACGAAACACAAGCCTATTGCACATAACACACATTTATTGACCCCTTAAACTGGAAAGGTCTGCATGCGGGCCCACACATCAAGTCCTCACTCTCATAGCCACAAAAATTACATATGAGTTTTGTTGTAGTTACTGAAAATTTCATAGTATTTACTGAAATTTCTAGATTAAACTAATAATCGCAACATCAATACCTGAATCATAAGCTTAGGGTTTAAGAATGTGAAATATTTTCTCTCAGATGTTTTAACTGGCCTCACATACATGCATACATCATTACATAGTGAGGCATAAAAACAAATTAATTACCAATTTTCCATATATGTCAATTCTATACAGTTTCACATTTACAAACATCCTCCACTGGCTGTCATTATAACACAAAAGCCCATGAAAGCTCAGCATTTCTGTTTGTATGTCAGTATGACGTCCTCAAACAGCGAGTGCTTTGGCCAGTCAATTAACACCTCTTGGATTTGTGAATAATTAGACGTTCTGGCATGTGTTGGATCAGTGTGCAGTTCACAACTCAGCACTGTGTTCTGTCTATCTGTTGGAAAACAGCCACATCTTTGGCATCTTTGGGTCATGCTGAGAATTTGACATGTTTGGGTCACACTTTGAAGTTCAATCTTCATGGCAGATGAGTGGTTGTTTTATCTCTGATCACTCTGACAGCTGATTGAGTTGTGTGAACTGAAGGCTGTGACTTCCACAGGCAGCACGGCTATACAATATATAATGTGTAAAATATTATGGCCATATAGGCCTTAATAGAAGGCTGCAGTTTGTAAATAAGCACACTAATGTTTTTTTTAATGCAGAGCTGAGCGATATCTATTGTCTATACCAGGATTCCAGTACTGATATCATGCAACAGTACTGATTTTTAATTTCAGCTATATTAATACATAATAAGAACTCAGTTAAAGCAAAATTCTACTTTTTATTTTAAATCTGCATAATTCAACAATTAAGACATTCATGGTTTATACTTCCAAACATTTTGTACTTTGCACTGCCACTTGTTTATACATTCAGGCATATTGCACAACTATTAACATATGTTATCTTTTACAGTGTATAGGCACTCGGTTCATCCACTGGATATGGCATCCACCACTGCATTGTCACCTGCATAATACAGGGTGATTCAAAAAGATTCATCCGATTTCAAAGTGCCATATTTTTACAACCATGAGGCGTCTAGGAACCAATCACATACCAACTGAAAGAGGGGTCATAGAGTTTCTGACTGTGACTGGAAGATGGCTCCCTTCAGTCTGTGAGGAGATGCGACCCCTGAGCAGAAAGTGTTTTGCGTTCTCCACTTCAATAAGAGTGAATCTGTCATAACTGTGCAATGTGATTTTCATCGGCAGTGAACCTCCAACAGCTCAGAGCGTTCGTCGTTGATTCCACAACACTGGATGATCTCCGAAATTGCATCGAAAGAGCTGTGAGTACAGTGACACCCAACATGCTCAATCGAGTATGATGTTGTCTGTACAGCTGGTGGAGGTTCATATTGAGCACTTGTAAAATTACATAATAAACTTTATGCTCATTTAAACCATTTACAATTTACTGCATTGTTCTGTAATGATTTACAAGTGAAATAAATCATTTTGATATCAGATGAATCTTTTTGAATCACCCTGTATTTATGCGATTTTTCTTATTCTGGTACTGCGCATTATATTTTATGGCTGTTTTAGTATTTTTTAATATATATCTTTATCTGTTTGGAGTCACTCGATGTTATGTTTTAGAGAAACTTAGCCAAAATTGTCTGCACATTTGACGTGTTAGATGTTTTATGATACTTTTGAAATATGGTTTTGGTTTCAAATGCATTTTTAAAAGAAATTCTGTACAAGCAAAGCAAAATAAAAGTCCCTAAAGAAAACCTTACCATTATAAACATTACATATAAAACTCAGAAGACACGTGTAGGCTCACTATGATTTTGGATAGTAATTAAAACAGCTATATTTGCACTGTAGACATCACAATGCCTGGTTGCCATCACCACCACTGCAAAGAAAACTGAGTTTGTAAGTTTCTCTACGATACACCATTTCACACCAAACCAATCTAAAAGACTCTGTTTACATTTCAATGACTAAATTATGCAGAAATTTAAAAAACTGCTGTAAATCATTCACATTGTTTTGAGAGAAAAGTTAAAAATGGTGTAGTTAAATATAAGGCAGAACAAAACAGTCCAATCAAATTATGTCAGACATTCTTTTTGTAATAGCTTGGGTTCAATAACTTAAACATAATCTGATACTGTGATATATTTGGAAAATTATGTGATGTTGAATGTATCAAGCACTATTTCATATATGTAATCATATTATGTAATATAGTCACAATATGCTATTTTCTTGACATCATGCAGCCTTCAGTGAAATTTCCATCCACTCAAATGTATTATATGTTAAATCAGCTGCCAGAGACATTAATTCCAGACACATCTGACCACTCACCTCAGGCTCTTGTATCTGCTGTTTTCTGACCCTCTGGAGGGCTTCTTTCTGCTTCTTCAACACTTCCTGCACACTCATTCTCCTCTTCTCCTCCTCGAGTTCTGCTTTTCTCTTCATCTGTTGTTCCTTCCTCCTCCTCTCGAGGGTCTGACGATGCATGTATTCATGCAGCTCCTGTGTATTTTGTTTCTGTCTTGTACTTTGTTCGGTTGGGCTTACGTTCTCTTTTCTTTTCAAAGACGATGGCTGAGCTGTGCTGCTTTTAACATGGCTACCAGAGGGGTCTGTTGAGGCCTGGCAGGGTGAAGTATACTTGGAGGGGCTTCGGTTTTTGTTGGCCAGAATGAAAGGTTTACAGGCAGGAGAGGATTTTGTACAGTGGCTTAAAAGATTATTTTTGGTGAAATGATCAGAACTTTGTTTTGATCGATTCTGAATGTTCAGTGGTTCCTTCTGTTGAGTCTTCTTATGACCTGTGAAGTAAATACACAGCTTGAGTACACACTGTAAA